AGAGAATGTTTGTCTGGGAATCAATGGCTACAGCCCGCCTGATCTGTTTTGTTTGTGAAATCCGGTCACCCTAATTAATGAGGTTGCTCTGGGCAACCTCCTGCCCTGGCCCTGACTTTTGCTCAGAGGACAGTTTTCAGTTCCTGCTTCTTAAAGAGCTCCGAGCCATATGCCACTGAGTACATGCGCATTTAAATAAACAAACAATACAAACATTTGCTCCTTAAGGTAAGTATTCCTCTGTGTTTTCAATGGACCACCATTTCTTGGCTTGCTTCCCCACACCTCAAAACAGCTGACCAGAAGGTTTAGACAATCACATTTATCTTGTTGAAATGCCTCTTCTTCAGGTATTAGCCCCAGAAGACTAAATGATACACTATATCCTAGAAAACTCTAAGCTTTTAACAATCCAAGTTCCAGGAATGCACTGGAAATATGGAAAAGTAAACAAATGCTAAGTTTCTAAGTCACCGCCAGGAAAACTCTAAATGAGAGAGGAACATGAGCCACACATCTTAACGGTGGCTGAGAAACTGACACCTCATGTGCTGGATGACTTAAGGCTTCTCACACTTCCCAGTAGCCCTGTACAATGGAGGCTCTGTTTCCTTTCTCGGGACCCATCAGACTTATCCCAGAAGCAGGCTTCTCCATGTCTGCACCGAGAAGTCCCAGTTGGGAAATGCACACTCCAAGTGACACACAGACCCGAGAGAACCCTGCAGCCCAGTGGAGAGAAAGGAAGCGCACTGGGGCAGCCAGGGGCCTGGTCGCAGAGCCTCCCGGGGCTTCCTCCACAGGGGACTTCCTCGACCTTGGCACCCCCAACGTTCTGGGTGGATAATTCTTTACTGTGGGGGGCTGCCCTGTGAATTAAAGGACGGTTAGCAACCTCCCTGGCCAGGGTCCACTAGATGCCATTAGAAAGCAATCTGAACCATTCTCTCAGACATTGCCAATTGGCCCCCAAATAAGGACCACTGGTCTAGGCCAGCTGCAGAATCATCAATGGCAGGGTTGGAGAGACCTGGGAGGTCCCCGAGCCCAGGACCCTATCATTTAGGAGGAGTTAATAGGGTCCCTTAAAGGGTAACTCTCCACAGTCCCTGGACCCCGAGTTAGCGGCAGCACAGGAGCCACAAGCCATGGAACCTGGGCAGGCCGACATTTTTGGAGAAGTCCTTTTCTTAAAGAAGCAACTGAATATTAAGAGCATCACACATATTCGAAGCAACTACTTGGTAAATAAAGTGGTATTAATAAAGTTCTGTCCTATTTAAAAAAAGAAAGGACAGAAGGAACAAGATGAATAGGCACTGGGACAAGAGAAGTGGCTTCCCAGCTGCTGAGATGGCAGGTCCGATGAGGCCAGCAGGCAGAACGCATGATAGCTTACATTTATAGAATACATTTTGTATGTCTATAAAGTTACGATTTAAAATACTTTATAAAATTTCCCTTGGATATCAACGTACTCAGAATCTAACACACACACATCAGGCATCTGCCCGGCTCCCTTCACTGCCAAAGAACAACTGATTAAGAACAAGGTAATCATGTTGTAGTTTGGTTACTTACCACCAAGTCTGGAGAGGCCCAGACCCCAGGAAACATCCCCCCAAGTGACTTCTGGGAACGCCTGGTATCATCACCTGGGCTGGTGAGGGCAGGGCTGCCTGCCCCCCGCTGGCTCCAGCGCCTGCCCACCGAGGACCTACTGCCTCTGTGCCTTAATAAATATCTTGATCGGATACAGGGCTGTCAGAGAAGGGGCCGCGGTCCAATCGGAGTTTGCTGGGATTCTTGATATACCGCGGGGAGCTAGGAGTTCATCAGCAAGCCCTTAAAAGATTGTTTAGGGCTATTCAAAAGTGAGATTAGAACAAAAGGGGGGAAAATTCAATGCTCCTGTAGCATTTTAGTCCCAGCCGATTAGCACTATAGATGAAGCAGTAGATAATCTGGGGAGCAGAAAACAAGCAAAAACATATAAACAAAGAACTATTTAAAAATAAAGAGCCAGAATCAAATGTGCTGATTATTAAAATAGCAGTGATTTCAGCACACCTTCTTTTTGTGTACCTGCAGTCATGTTTTATGGCCATACCGCTCTACCAAACAACTTTTCGTTACTATTTATTTTCTTAAACTCTCCAACAGAGTAATTGAAAAATTACATCTCTTGGTGAGGCAGCTCATAGAAAGGAAAAAAAGGACAGGAAGGAAGGAGGCATCTTCTGTGCAGGGTTCTTGCAATTTGTGCATTCAGGTTTCCAAGTTGATGACTAGAGTGAAGACTTTAATGTAGTTCTTTCAAGCCCAGACCATATCCTTATAAACAGATTTTCTCCTGTAGCAAGTACGCCGCTACCCAGAAGCATAACTCTAAACACAATGCTTGAGGTTCGTGAATCTTCTGTGGAATAGGCAAGGAAAGAAAGCAATTGAAGGCATAAGGACAAAGCCCTTGCTCAATAGCAGGCCATATATTTATACCCTTTACCTGCTGGGATCCATCTTTTAAATGGAGTTGGCCAGAGCATGCTTTTGTGTCTCTTGGCTGGTAACTGTTTAATTCTCTGTGTGTGGCAGAGATGGTGTGAAGAGAAAAGCCTGCTTTCAGGAAAGGTCAATATTAATACGGTATGTTATACAAAGAATAACAGACACCAAAATTTTATAAAATAGTCAACTACATGTGGTAGTATTTCTTTTCCTTCTCTTTATTTAGCTCCTTTCTTTTTACTTCTCTTTCAATTTTGTTTTTTAAAGGCAGGAATGGGTGTTACTTTCTTACTTAGAATCAAAATCAATTGATGTTTTTTTAAAAAAATAAAATGTGATCAGAATCTCATGAAGTGGTGAGCTGTGGGGACTGTAATGCCGAGGCCTGCTCACGGCACTTCCAACTACAGCCTGCTTTCCCATCCCGTCCCTCCAGCCAGGGCAGGAAGCAGGCCGCCTCTGCATTTGGCAGCCCACTCTACTTACAACGTGGCAGGCTCATTGAGCACAAACTCTGAAAACCCTTACACAGGCACACAGCTTAGTATGTGACCACATCAATTCCTACAGCCTGCTCATTGTTAAGTTCCTTTATATTTCAGCATTATAGCAGGAAACACCCCAGTCATTCACCAGCAAGTGCCGCTCCCTTCATGCGCAGCCCTACATTAGGACACAAACCAAGTGGCAGGAAAGGCAGTTTCTTCACTGCGCTCTAAGCTCCTAGAAAGCAGAGGCTGCGTTGAACTCCTCTGGATGGTGCTTAGTTCCCATAAGCAGAGAATGAATAAATGTCTGATGAAGAAAAGACTCCACATGAAAGGTCAACAGCATAAACACACAGATCAAAATAAAGCAAGGAGTTTACTGGCTTCCTGGGAACCGCTGGCAGAACTAACACAAAATAATTGAAGCCACAGGTAAGTCAAAAAGAGTTAAGCGGAGTGCCCTGCTGAATCCTCACCAAATCTTTCATGCAAGCTGATGATACAAAAAGAAACATAAAGGACAGCTCCTTAGCAGGTTACATCTACACTTCAGGAGTTGTTTCCTCTGTGCTGGTCTGTTAAATTTGACAAGTATGTCCTGAGCCCCATCTCTGTGCGCATAGGGACCATCCCAGTGCAGTCCTCGTGCTGCCATTTGGGGACTATCACAAGTGTCTAAACATGAGTCACAGTGTCCTCACTTTTCCTCAGGAAAATGGAGATCACCGAGCCTTCGGAATGCTGGCATGAAGGCTGAAAGTGAACCTGTATGCAAAATGGCTAGCATGTGGCAGGTGCTCAAAAATGTAAGGCGCACACAGGGCCACCGTGGACCGCAGCTCTGGGGCGCGGTACCGTCACAGCCCCGCTCAGCCTCACACAGAGGTCCTGGATCACTCTTTTTCTTAACATCTGGCTTTGGGATTCCTTTCATTTTCCACCTCTCTGCCTGTCCTCCTCGGAAATGTCAAGGTCAAAATGCAGATGTATAGGCCAATGGCAAACAAAATATACAAGAATGGACAATTTAGAAATGAACTGGCTTCTGGGGGAGATCTACTTCTGTCTCAGAAAAAGACAAGGAACACTCAAGATCCATCTCTTAACTCCTAGACCTGACTGACAACTTCAAAGAAACATAAAACCACCCTTATCCTCTCATTCCTCTTGGAAGGGAGGGTCCACAGGGCCCTTTCGAGAATTTGATGAAAGAAAAAGGCCTCCTTCCCCAAAACACTTACACCCAAATTTTGCTTACATTTCAGACAATTCCTGAACACACACCTTCACCTTCCTCTACAGCAGGACTAAGAGAATCAGGCGCACCTTACGATATAAACAGGGAATAAGCTGACTTTTCAAAAAATTATTATACATACAGATGGCTGCAGTCCCAATAATTCTCTCTCTCTAGGTCATGTTAAAATTCCAAAGAACAAAATATCATGAGGAGCACCCAGGAAGTTTGTTAAGCCAGTCTCTGGTCCAAAATGCCTACTGCTTCACCAAATTATTACACCATTATGTCATCTCCATTGCACATCTGCAGCATAATTGCTTCACAAAAACACGCTCAGAGATAGCCTTGAGAGATTTAAGTTCATGTAATAAAAGTTCACGGGCAGCGTGGTTATCTGGACAAAGTTCTGGAGTTACAGAGATGCTGCCCAAGGCGAGCACGTCATCTGATTGCCTCTGATCGATCAGCTGCGCTGCTCTTTGCAGTGGACTGTGCGTAGAGCTACCCCACACCCTGTCTTGCCTGAAGAGGGCTGGGCAACCCAGAGGACACCCAGACTGTCTGCTAAACAATAAACAAAGCATGGTGTGGAGCAAGCAGAGCTTACTATGGCCAGTATTCTCATCTGACCCCGGTGAGCTTGCTCACCACACACGTGGGCAATACCCTGTTATTGACTCTCTCTCTCTCTATATATAAAGAGATCCACCCAGTGCTCTGGGCTGCAGGGCTGCAGGAGAGCAGAGACTGGAGTGGTGGCAGCGCTGAGGATAGAGACTGGGATGGCCATGGGGGCAGAGAGGCCCAGAGGCAGAGACCAGCCTGCTGCATGCAGACTCGCTCTGAGTGGACAGGATTCTAAATGATTGACCTGCCACCGTGGGAATCAAGTTGCGAGTAACCCTTGCACCCCAAGAACGTTCCACTGTCACTCCTCAGTCTCACTGAATCCATAGCAAATGTGCCCGGGGCTGAAACCCATTGGCAAGACTCATAGCCCCCCACCTTCTGACTTGAGGGAGAGCAGTCTACAAGAAGGTAATAAATGAATATTCATTTGCTGTCATTTAAAGATCAAAATCAATAATCACAAACCACTTCGTATTTGTACAATGCTTCAGTTTACAAGCACTTGAACACAGCTCAGAAGGCAAGGGAGATGTTATTGCCCACCTAGTCAGTCATTAGCAGACGCTGTTTGAACACGAATCTTGCTGGGTGGGTATGGAGGAGTGCAGAGGGGTGCTCCCATCTTCCAGGGGCCAGGAAAATGTAGAAGAATGCCAAATCTGCCTTGGGGAAGGAAGGGGATTTTCGCAAGGAAAGGAGTGTGCAATCTGATTGTTGGAGCAAAGTAATTTTGTGCACAGAACTGGACTTGGAAGCTGCTGGGGAAATAGCATTCAAAGCAGAGAGAAGAGTGTGTGCAAACATGACCTGGAGAGGTAAGAAAGGGCTTGTTCGGATGGCAAGGTGGGCCTGGAGTCATGGGGGATGAGGCTGGAAAAGCAGATGGGTCAAGTCAAGGCAGGTCTTACCTGCAGCGGACAAATGGGGGTTTACAGATAATGAAGTTGAAGAGACAGATCTGTTAGAGCAGTTCTTAAACCACACCGAGAAGCTTTAGAAAAAAAAATGTACTAAAAGAAATGGAGCACGATGATTTAAATGAATGTTTAGAAGCGGGAAATAATAAATGTTAATGTTTGGTGCATGATTAAAAAAAATGTACGGATGTTTGACTCCTACCCACAAAGACTCTAATTCAATTAGCCTGTTGTGGGATCTGGACATCAGCATCCTTTTTAAAAAGCTCCCAGGTGAGATTATTTGTGCAGCTGGCAGACAAGCACTGGGCTAGAGGTTAAGCAGCCCTCTAAGGTCACCCCAAGATCAGGGCTCATTCTTGGGCTTTGAATTGCAGCAATTATTTCCCTTTAAATTTTGTCTGTCAATTTTAAGAATGAAAAAAAAAAACAGGTGGAGAAAAAAGGGGCTCAGGACAACACATACACACACACACCCAGTATTCCAGATACAGCTCTTCATTATAGCATAAAGAATTTTAGCAACTGTTAATTTGATATGCGAAGTGTCCTAAATGATATGGGTGTTAAAAAACCCAAGCTGACCTTTGCTTCTGCTTTATGTGTTTAGGCTGGGTAGGAAAAAGTCCTGAAACTCTCTTTATTACCTAAGCCAGTCTTTAAGATCATGATGCTTGGTCGAAGATCAACAAGTCAAATAAGCTTCATAAACCCAGCGAGCAAGTACAGTGGGAGAGAAGGGGCGACCTGGGAGACGGCGATCACCTGAAGAGTCTCAGTGCTTTCAAAGGTCACCTCACCGGCAAATCCGGAGTTACCAGCAGAACAGGTGAAGTGACCCAGCGACCTTCTGTCAATCTAAAATGGCTGGGCTCCCAGGTAGCAAGGTCGGCACACCTGGGTCATGTCTACTGTCCCTACGTCCTTCCCATGCGCAAGGACACCAGTAATGGTGTTTGCCTGCTGACCTTCAACACGCTGCTCCTTCGGCAATAAAACCAGAAATCGATTTTTGATTCCTGTGCTGTAATTTAACACAACTTAAAAAAGAATCCCCACTAAGGCTACTTTGAAATTTTAACAATTTATGCCAGGCAAGAAGCCCAAAACATCGATTTCAATCATTTAAACAAACAATAGAGCCTTTTAGGTAAGTAGACTTGGGTTTGAAAAGGATATTTAGCAACATACATTTTTGGGGAAGAATGAAATGCTTCTCACCTGCCAGAAGAGAAAGAAGAAACAAGAAAAAAACTCAGTCTCCAAACAGCCTTTGGTATTCACCTTTGAACATACTCTCTCCAAAAGTAATAATACCACAAGTTTACCTTCATGCCAAAGGCTGGGTTGTGTCTATTTCCTTATGACTTTCTCCACAATGACTCACACAGAAAAGTGGTGAGGGCATTGGTTTCACCTCTCAAGTTCGTTTTCTTTTTAATTAATAGGAAGTGCATGACATGATACAAATAAAGTTTATAAAAAATGCTGAAGTAATATTTATCGATATTTGTTGGATGCTTTATAAGCAAGGGTTGACTCTCCCAGGCCACCTGATAATCTGCCCTCTTTAAGGTTAGTTGCTTTGAAAGTTAGTTGCTTTACTGGTGGGTTAGGAAAAGTAAAGGGAGCGGTGCTTCCCACAGCTCTCAGTGAGAAAGAGGGCCGGGGGGTCAGAAGAGAGTGAAGGGGAGTAGCCCCAGGGCCAAAATGATACCCTTGAATGTAAGTGTTTATTTCTGGCCTTTCAGGAAAGGACAGATGATCAGCTTGTAGAGAAAAAGCAAACCTGGGGGAAATGGCTCGACTGTACAGAAATTTCATAAGATGGATTTCTCCTTGTATGAACACACTTACTGTACAAAGAATAAAGGCCAACTAGACCAGCATATCTTGAGGGACCATCACATTTACATCGCAGTCTAGAAAACATCTGGAAACCCTGCCATGATCAAAAGATTTGCTGACAATAGTGAACACAAGCAAAAAAATCTGGGTAAGGAAAATTACCCTGTGGGCCCCCACACTCTGGCTGCTCTGTCACGTGGCCAGAAGGCTGCACATCCCCCCCGGCCAGCCAGAGAACCTCCCCCCTGGCCCATGCTGGCCTGCTAAATCCTTGCTGGGCCTCCCCCGCAGGCTCCTCCATCACTGTTTGTCATTGCAACATCCCCGGCTTCATTTCGACACACATTCCTGATAAGCTGTGAACTTAGAAATTTCAATTACTTATGCTGACTACATTTCAAGTGTTGACTGTTTCCATGTGCCACTTGCTTCCAAACCTCTCCATGGGGGGGAATGCGTCACACACCTGGAAGTTCTCCCATGGGCCCTGGGGCCACCTAAGGCAGGCAGTCTGGGTCCCCAGAGAAGGGTCACATTTCCTTAATGGTCTCAATTTGGAAGTCACCCTTCCTTCTGTCAGAGGCCTGCAGTTACCTCCTGGTGTGTCTGCAGTGAGGGGCAGCCCCACTAGGAGGAATGTTGCCCACTCCCGGCACCCCCACTTCAGCCCTGTTCCCACAGGCCCAGTCTGCTTAGTAAATATTTATCCAGCATGCCTGGCCTCAGCAGAAGCACAATAACCATCCTTTGCCTGCTCTTTATGCTAGAAAAGAAAACAACAGACTCTACTTAAACATAGCTGATAAATAGGGCAATAATATGTCAGAAATCCACAATCGAGTTAAGACAGGATCCCTCCACTTCCTTAGCTTTCATTGAGAATCAGATAACATGTTACATGTAGGGCTTCAAAAATTCCCCCTACCGCCGCTTCTGTCTCCTTCCCTGTATCTTAAGATCTCGTGGATTTAAAATACTACATTACTTTTTTACTGAAACAAGTCATATTTCTATTTAAGTGTCCTGGAAAGAAGTGAGCATGTTAGCTTCCCAACCAGTTTTACATGCAGGAAAAAGGTCCAAACTGAAGGATGGGGGAGTAAGCCCCAGGCCTCACCACCGAGCTGACCCCATTTTAGAACAAGATTTTCTTCCAACCTCTGAGTACTTTCCTATCCTCAGGGCTGATGGCAATGAGTGAAACGTATGATAATTTATCACAGATGGTTCTTAATTTGTATTCTAGACCAGCACTGTCCAATTCAATGTTCTGTGATGAAGGAAATGTTCCCCATCTAAGCTAATAGAGCAGCCATGAGCCACCTCTGGCTAATGAGCCCTTGAAAGTGGCTAGTGCAACTGTATTTTTAATTAGATTTCATTTAAATTTCAGCAAATGTGGCCAGTGACTACCTTATTGGATGGTGCACCTCCAGGCCATGAGATACATTTATTATTTTATTTTGACTAACATGCTGTGGCAAAACATTTTCCCCTGCAGCTTCCCCCAACCCCATTCATTTTTAACCAGCACTTACTAGCATCTTCTATCACTTAGAGTCCCCACTCCCCTAATTTAAGAAAATTTTAAGAGCTGGTTTAATGGAAAAATATGAGGCAGATTTAAAAACTTCAGGTTTCTAGCTAAAAATATTGACATTGTATATTGAATTCAGTGAGTTTCCCTTCCTCCACCTGTGTAATAAATGGTTACTTTAAAAATTATCTGCAGTGTACAAGGTATGCCGACCCGGCTGGGTGCTTCCGCATCTACGCTCTAAGGGCACACACGGGACTTTATTAAGGAGAAGGAAATGTCAACAGAAAAGGCGTGACAAGGCAGGAGACCTGCATTGTGCTTCCTACTCTTGGAAAAGCCTTTTCAGTGTCCACCCACCCAAGTTTAGTTTCCTCTCCAAAGAGGTTCTTGCAAAGAACATAGAAGCTATTGTTCCCCGCAACAACTCTTCTCAAATAGAGCTTTGTCTCAATGCTTGCAAAGACAATCGCTCTCCGAGAAAATGCTGCCGAATAACTGGGTCAGACTGTGTCAACGTGGTGTGTTTACGCAGACTGTTTCCTGAATGACCGACGGAGGTGGCCGGGTCACTCAGCACCAAAGATCTGAGACCTGGCGGCAGTGCCAGTCACCCCACCTAAGTGGGAGAAAGCAAAAGGTGGTGATTCTGGGGCAGAGGGTGAGTGTAGCTGGCTTGTGAGAGGGCGGGGAAAATTATGCTCGGCATTGGGACACAGACCCTTGCTGAGTGTGATGACCACTTGGGCTGGTGGGGAAATGCCCACTGGCAGAAACCTGCCCACAGTGAGAGTTGCTCTCCCAGCCTGGAACCCACCCACATAAGCTGCCCCGAACACAGTCTGCTGTATGGTCAGGGAACCCTACCCGTGATGGGAAGCCAGGCCACTTCACAGACCCAAATAACCTGGAAAACAAGGCAACTGTAGTATTTACTCATACTTTCAGAGATACACATCCTTTCAAGTCTCAAGTTCCTCTTGTATAGAGCAAAGAAAATAAGTAAAATTCAGGGGCTGACACTCCTGTCCACGTGTTCGCTCCGTGGCCCTCCTCTTCTCAAAGCGACAACTCCATTTCACCAGATGTTCAGCTCAACCCTTGAAGTCATCCTCGCCTGCACTTTCTCTCACACCCATTATCAAATACTTAGCAAATCCTCTACCTGCAAAGTACACCTGGGACCCCATCAGTAACTGCCACCACTGGTCTCCTGTGTGACCAGAGCAGATTTCTAACTGGCCTCCTAGCCCAGCCTCTGCCATCCGGCCAACTCAGCAGCAGACGTGGTCCTTGTGCAAGGTCAGGTCAGATCATGTCACTCAGAATAAAATCTAAATTCCTTCTCTTAGCCTACCAGACACCTTATTTCTCTGGGCACCTCACCCCCAGCCATTCCATCTTTCACTCATTCGATTCCAGATCCCGTGGTTGCCTTGCTGGATCTGATCCTCAAATACATCAAACACACTCCTACCTCAGGGCCTTTGCACTTTCTCATCCCTCCCTCTGAAATGACTTTCACCCCAGAATGTAAGACTTGTCCCCTTGCTTCCTGTTGGTCTCTGCTAAACGTCACTTTATAACAGAGGCTTCCTATAATATATGGGCACACATATGCCCAGATGCATACCACTGCCACTACATGCTCTCTCCTTTCTTTCTTGTTTTTCTTGGTACTTAGTACCACCTAGCACATGATAGATTTAGTTCCATGGAAGCAAGGGTACTGCCTGTCTTTCTGGCTCACTGCTATATCCCCAAAGCTTACCTAGTACACAGTAGATGCTCAATAGATACCTGTGGATTTTCTTTGTGAATATTTGGGTTGGTTCTTTACAAAGCAGAGTTCTCTCAAGATGAAATTCAAGTTAGCATGTAAGTATCATGAGGAAAATTCAGTAAGTTATAAACCATAAAATTACAATTTGATTTACACAAAGCAAATGAAGTTAAGACAATATAGTTTGTGCAATCGGCTCTGGACTCAAAATGAGGTTTACTGATTCCTCACCTAGTCTTCCTCTGAGGTAGTCCCTGGGATTCTCTCAAGGGGAGGATGCACCTGCCCCTCTAGGCGGCTCTGGTCAAAGGTGGGACTTGGCTCCCCCTCAGCCGTATACAATAAGGGAATCTTCCCCTCCACAAAGTAAGGTTTGGTGGCCCTTCACGTCCCCTCCCCCTTAAGAGAAATGTCCCCTACACACGTCTACAGCAAAGGGGTGTGCAGCAAGGTGTGAAAACGAACATGTATGTATCAAACACTTACTTTGTGTCAGGAAGTCTACCCAACAAACACTGAATTCCCTTCCTCTCTGTCACACACGAAGGGGTGGGCCCTCTTCCAGGCCTTTGCCACTCCTGGGAGGCTGCGAGCTCCCTGAAGACAGCAGCTTGTCCTTTACATTCAGCTGTTCACAGCCAGCACCTCACTCGGGCCCCATAACACTGTGGAGGCTCAAAGAAATGTCTGCTGAGCAATCAGATAGCAGGCCAGCGATGGGGCCTCTGCCCACTAGGAACCGTCCCCAAGAAGCCCCAGGTGAGACGGGCTCTGTGGCACATTTGCTGTCACTCAGGACGTAATTACTTTAACTCTTTAGAGAACACTGACCATAAGTTTTTCCCATTTATTGCCAGGACAGAAGTACATCTCTCACTGATGGTTCCCATGCTCTTTCTGCATGGGCTAATTTTAATTCCATCTCACTGGGTCTCTTCAGTAATAGATGCTGACAGTCCCAGATGCCAGGCTCTCACAGGAGCACCTGCTTATCCCTCAGGATTAAACTAAACACCTTAACTCCAGGACAGTAGGTCTTCCTCTATAGATTTTTGCCGAAGATAAAGCACACGGCACAGTCCAGTCCAACAGCCACACAGAAATCTCTGTACTCAGAGCATCTATCTGTCTGGATGGTGACTGCGGTGAGAGCAGGGACCTTATTCGCTGACCCAGGTGATGGCCTCACATATGGAACACACATAGTAAAAGCTCAATAAAAGCTTGAAGAATGTCAGTAGATGGGGTACGTACTGACCAAATGAAAATTAATAGTTAACCAAACATTTTACAGATTGTTTATTACATGAGGATGGCCGAAATAAGTGCTTTTCAATTATCACTGGCAACAGACTTTTTTGTTTTGGGCATTATACTATGGTGTTTCAGGAGTTCACATTAAATATATGACCTTAGACACCA